CACACACACACACACACACACACACACACACACACACACACACACACTTACTTCTGACAGCCCCCATTATGAGCTGCGAAAGTGGGATCTGCATCTCAATACTTGCACAGGAAACACTAGTTTGCACTGTTGATCTGCCTGATCCCAGTTTGGCACTTCTTGCATGTCTTTGTTCCCACTTGTCCCTCACTTGTCCCACCCTCTTCCTCTTTTCTTTTTTCTTTTGGGGTGGGGTGTGGGGGGTTACTAGTTCTCGATATCTAGGCTCTTCATTTCTTTTTCCTCAGGCCTTCTATAGTTTTTCTTTTTGTTTCTCTCCAATCCCGCCAAGGTTATCTCAACAGATAGTCTGTTTCTTCTTGCCACTCGATGTGTCTTTCGGTCCTGGGTTTCTTATGTGCGATGTCCCTGTATCCCGTGGGGACTGAATCAGCACGAGCATCTGTTATGGTGATAGAGGGGGAAGATGAATAGATCAATGTGTCGAAGGTTTGTGCAGACGTAGGTACTAGGAGTGTCAGGGTGGGTGAACACATATGGATCTGTGGGTGTCTGGTGATTGGTGGGTGTATTGAGTGGTCGTTTTTTCCCGTGAATTGGCGGTTTTATCATGGGTGTAATGGCAACGTGACACCATCTCAATAGGTTTTAATGGGTTTTGGTGCACTATTGTTAGCTTTGACAATTCTTAATCTGCTTGGAGCGTAATTATTTTTGCTACTAACATGAACTGTTAAAATCATGAAGGATAAATCATGGCTTCACTGTCTTCCCACACTCGAGACAATCAAAATTATCCAATTTTCTGTAATATATTGATGATTATTTAAGAAAGATAACAAAAAAGAAAAGTTGCACTGATGAGATTGAGGCCGCATTTTAAATTAACTAGCCCAACAAATAATGACTTTTCTTCCTTCTGTTATTAAAAATTTCAATTGATTGAAGAGGATTTTTTTAAGAAATCGCATTTTGTGTGGATAGATGATGATATTGAGACATGATTTACAAATATAGCAGACGTATAAGTGGAGCAGATGGGTGAATGACAAAGGTCTTTGAGAATAAATGTATGTTTGGATTGATAGTAGGGATGGACAGATGAATGTATTGATGTTGGGTGATGGAGAGATGAATGGTGATGGTGGGAGAGTAGCATCATGTGGGTGGAGGGTAAAGGGAGTGGTGGACAGAGCACAGAAGGCCTGTACTTCTCCCAAAGCATGATATGCTCCCTTGGGGACTTTCGCAGTGTGTAGGTCAATCTGGGTGTGTGAGGGTGGGCCTCGGGGTGCAGAGGAGAATGTGAGGGCTTGGCCTTAGGTTGGGCCTACCAGAGAGTGCACAACCCTCCACTCCCTTATTTACTGCCTGAAATGCCAGTACAGATGGCCATGTGTCAAAGATGGGGGCCAGAGGCTTAAAGGTTGCGGCTGAGGCCAAAAGATGGAGGGAACCAAAGGGTCGGATGTTTAGAGCACTTGAGAATATAAAACAAAGGGTACAAAATGAAACGTTGTGTCGTTGAATTCAACCATGTCAAAGAGAGCTCAATTGTCTGTAGTAAGGAACAAGCAAAAAAAAAAGAAAAGACTTCTCTGCTGAGAGTGGTCCAGTTTTCAGAACTGATGAGTCGACATTAACAGCGGCGGTGATGTGCTAACTAGGAGAAAAGGCTGGCTGCTCTGCGGCTTGGCATCGAATGGTCTATCAGATGGCTGCCTCTCAGGGTGAAGGCAGTCTGGACTGAGCTTCCATGGTGACCTCTGATTGATTAAGAGGCCATTTCTGGCACTTGGCTGGCCCGGGGCACCATTTGTCACCTGACTGTGCAGTCCTGTCGAGAGGCTTTGTGTCCTCCAATCTACACTCATTTACCAGATCTTTTTTTCCTTTTTTTTTAAATCCCCAACTCAGCCGGACCCACTAGGCCCACCCATGTCAAAAAATCTGTGCACTCATTCTGGTGCTCAGCCTTTTGGAGGAGAGTGAACACCAAATGGCAGGTTGAAACATGAGATATACCACGCATGAAACGCCTTCTCCTTAAGTGATAACGCACTGCGTTTGTCTCAGGCGGCTGTTTTTTAAGCGGATTTAAAGTCAAACAGAAAAAGCTTTTCGTCAGGAAATAAGTATAGAGGCTATGTCAATAATGGTGCTGTGATTTCTGCAAGTGATTCTGTACTTTATTTCCTCAATGTCGTGATTTGAATGTTACAAAACTACTCGTTGCTGTGAGTTTTGATAGCTAATTTGCCATCGCCACGAACTGGAGTAACACGGCTCATGTTTGAAAGATCATAATTGGTCCTCACAAATGTTTAATGATGTAAAGTGACTAAAGTGCTGTTTCCAAGAATACGTCCAAAAACAGCTTTTATAAAAATATGTAGAAAGTCACTCATATTATTATCATCTATAATTACTTCACATAAAAATGAGCGTAGTTCAAATTGCAGTTTGACTTTAGAGAAATGTTTGGATCCAAGTGTCAAAGTTATAATATTACTAGAGTCACATATATCTGTAATTTGCAGTGAAATGACCTGTGCTCTGTTTGCATATATTGCTCCCGCAGCAGACATTTGTTTTTTTATAGATGAGGGAAGGAAATCCATTTTGTCACAACTTGTTTCCTGCTCTAAATTTAAGGAAATTACAATATCTAGTTTGCTTTGATGCAATCCTGATGACTGCCACATTTACTAAAGGGAATGCACGGGAAGGTACGAAATCTATTGTGATATAATGCAATTGTGTTTATTATTAGAGTTTTCGAGGTGAAAATGAGAATGCTAATCGTATTCATAGCGGGTGCTGTGGGTAATTTGCAGCCTGCGATAAGATGCCATGTCAATGTGAACTGCCGATGGTTGAGTGACACACGTGACATTTTCGACTCATTATTCATTGATCCCATTTCAGTTCCCATCTAAACGTTTCTAATCTGCTTTGCTATCGAGGCCCTCGCGTACGGGAGCTATGTGAAATGTTCCTGGATTTGAGTTGATGGTGACACAGTTGGCCTCTGTCTTATATATGAAATGAATGACAATGTGTCTTTAATGCAATGCCACCTTGACACTATTAGGACAATACTTGCACCAAATAAGGATAGTACTCCTGGCCCAAGCGGAGCACTAACATTCACTTTGTGTGGGAGGGAGACCATTGTTAGGGGGCAAAAGTTTTATTACTTCTGGTAATGATAATAAATGCTTCCTCCCACACACTATGCCCTTCATTACAGCATTGGTCCCATAACATCTACGTGCAAATCCATCACTGTAGCTCAGTTAATGAATGCTCCAAACATAGCAGTCAACCGCGCGGATGATCCAAGACCTTGTCACGTTCTCTGAAATGAAGTTAATGAGCTAACGGAGGAGTCGACATTTTCGGGAAGGAAGGATATGACTTTATTTCGGGTGGAAGAGGATAGAAGCGGGATTTAGCGGGCCGAGGCTGAAGTGTGAACAGGAAAGGAGGAGCCGCAGAGGTTGCTCCGTTCACACGCTCTGAAGTAGGGGTCTATTCTTGTGTGTCTGATCTGGCTGGCGCGCATACACAGACAGGCGTGCACATAGACGCACACATGCAAACAGGTGGTGTGTGGTACTGACTGCATGGTGAGCAGCTGTGTGTAGGAGCTTGTGCTGTGCGCGCTGGGAGGTAGCTGTTGCATTCTCCGTCCTTACCACCGGACGCCGCATTTGACACAGGCAGATAGGCAGGCAGACAGACACACACACACACTGAAGGCAGCTGCAAGGTGCCATTCAAGGGCCGGAAAGCCAACTGCACCCGGCTACACAGAACACACTGTCTCCCGCATGGTATTCCACGTTTGACCCGACAGCAAGATGACCCTGTCTCTGCTGCGCATCCCAAATCCGAAGGAATCTCCTGCATATCTGTAAGTGCTCTGACATTGCTCTGACTGCAACCAGACCCCCAACCTGCCAAAAGGAGCACTTA